TTAAAAAAAAACAAAAGTTTTTTTGGGAGGGTTTTTTTAAAAAAAAAAAAAAAAAAAAAAAAAAAAAAAAAAAAAAAAAAAAACTAAGATCTTTCCAGCTGCACAGCATCCAAAACCAGAGGGAATAATTGTCCAAATAAGCAACACAACTGACATTATGAGCTAAAGTCTACAAAATCAGAACTAATGTGACAGTTACGCCAACATGCTGCCACTTTGAGTAGCACAATACTAGATGTAGAAAATCAACTCGCAAAGAAGCCACTTATATGATGCCAATATTTGATGACAATTAATATGCATGTGTTCCTTCTTCTTCTCGTGGATCCGTTGTCGTCTTCAACTTTTTTAAAAAGTGTCTGTCATGAAGTGGAGGTGATAGTGGTGAGAGAGAACACTGATGACCCAGGTAGAGATGAAAAAATGATGGTTTTAATGAAAAATCCACAAAAAACAAAATCCAAACATGCAGGCAGCATGGGGAAGAACGGAAGGCAAAAGGTCCACGACTTAACAGACTGGCACAGAGAACTATGATGGACGACATTAGACGAGTGCCCGACAAGAGACAAAGGACAGGTGGACTTAAATACACAAGGAGGGTAATTAGGGAACAAGACACACCTGGGAAGCAATCAAGGGGGAAGTGACAGGACACCACAGAGACTCAGGGAAACAAAACCTAGAAAACACACACAAAAAATTCAAATCCTCACAGTCTCTTATAGAAATGAGGAGTTGTGTCGAGCCATATTGTGTTTCAGAAACAGGAAACTGTGACAAATTAAAGTTCCTAAAACACTCTGGTCGACGGAAAGAAAGAAAAGAAAAAGTATAGATGGCAAAATGAAACAACAGAAATAACATCCATTGTCTCTTCTCATTAAATAAGAACACTAAAATATGCGCAGTGTGGCACAGTTGTTAGCACTGTTGCTTTGAAGGCACAAAGTTAACATCTTCACTAGCATTCGTGGGTTTTCTCTGGGTGTGGCTTCCTCCCACAAAATATTCCCTTTCAGAGTAATTTGTAATGGTAAATTAGTGCGACTGTGCTTCTCTGTGATGGACTGGTGACCTCTCCAGGATGCAACCTGGATGCAAGGCTTGTTTTTGCATCAACATGGAAAACAAAATGTCTTCAAATGAAATCTATTTTGCGATTTAATAAAAAAAAAAAAAAAAAAAAAAAATTGGTGGACAATTTCCGACTTTTGAAAACTTGACATGCAAGTGATAATGACTTTACCCAAACAGGAAAGAATCTAATTTCCTATTTGCATGCTGCATATTTCCGATGACGATGCCCGTGGAAAAGCTTGCTCCTTATACACGCTGAATAAATATTAGGAAAATATAAAAGTATTAAAAATGACACGGTAATGGAAAGACTTCTAATTACAATCAAAACTGCATTTAAATACATACTGCCACTTTAACTGAGAAATATTTAGTCAAGTTAACAATGTTATTGCAGAAACTTCCAATAATTAGATTAAATACACACATATATATATATATATATATATATATATAAAAGGGACTTCTTCATTGTGTATTCCATACATCTAATGCAGCCTCTTTGGTTGATTAGCAATGCTTAGTGTGTTTTTTCTGCAGTGACGGGAAGCTGAATATATTAACAGTTTAACAGGAATCGACCAAATCCTTTGAGAATCTAATGTTTGTGCATTGTCTCCAGTTTATTTTTAATTTTAGATTTTTTATTTTTTCCTGTCTACTACTTTTATCAACTATTTCCCGGTTCTTTCTTTGTTATGACCCAATTTCCAGAGAAATATGATGTTTCTTCTTCATCAGCTCATGGCAGCCATGTAAAAAAAAAAAAATAGTTTGGTGTAGTTTGTAGCATTGTGTGCTGTCTTCCCCCACCCCCCCCCCCCCCGCTCTTTGTTGTGCACCTCCTGCTCGCAGAGCCCAGTTAATTGCACATTCCTCATTACCATGTATTGGAAAAGAGATCCCTCTGAGCCTTTCCGCTTTACAACAGACAGTTTTTTCTTCCTCTTTTTTTTTTTTTTCTTTCCCAGGCATTCTGTACACATCCATTTTCAGCAGCTCGTTGGGGGGGGAAACGGTTAAATCGAGCTCCATCCGACTTCTGACCTCAAAAAATGAATCTCTCCAACTACATCCTCAAGTCAAATCCATCCCAGGTGAGAAAACATTCTAATTTTCTTTCAATAACGAACTGTGTGGAAGCAGCATGGGTGATTCTCCTGCTCTGCCTCAGTCTCAACAAGCGGGAAATGGCGGGAATGTGCCCTCCTCCCCACACCCCGGAAGACGGAGCTGCATCTGTTAACCCTCCTGATTATTGCTTCCATCGGACGACCGGCCCCGAAGCAGCGTCTGCCCAGTCATGCGGGGCCGTGCCAATAGATTCAGCAGACTATGGTAATGAGCCTGAAAGGATTCCCAAGCTCAGTGCTGTCACTTTGATGACTCCAGAATTAACACTGCACTAGAAATTCCTCACACCTGCTGCAATAACACTCAAGATAGAGAGGGGGGAAGGCGTCTTTGGTAACATGGTTACAAGAAAATTAATGTAACCCCTCTTGTCAAATGTAATTAGAGGCATAGTGGTGCCGATATGGTGCAGTGAATGTTTTGAAAGGGTGAAGCAGGAAATTATTACTGCAGGGAGAAACTCTTTTTTTCTTTTTTTGCCCTGATAACGGTGCTCTGTTTTGCTGCCGTGGAGGCATATGTCAGGATGTGGGTTTTTGTGCATAGGTGTGATACAATAATGGGTTATTTTCTTTTTTTTTTTCTTTTTTTTTAAATGAGGGCATTAATTGTCAAAACAACACACAGAGAAGCACATCGAGCTTCTCTGTGCACTTTGAACTTTTTCACAGTTTGTCACATTGAAGCAGCTAACTTCAGTGTGCTCTTTGGGACTTTTCTGTTATACATCAGCAGAAAGCAGTGCATGACTGTGATGTGGAAGGAAGGCGGCACTTAATTTTATTTTTTTTTTTATTAGAAATTAAAATCTAAAAAGTCTGCCTCTGCATTTGTATTTGACCTCCTTTAATCAAAAAGCTCCAAGTAAAACCCAGGGCAACAAGTCACCTTCACAAGTTACCTACTGGGTAAATTCTAAAATTCAAAAATTCTACTTTTTGGCCCAACTGCTAATTATTACGTAGCACGTGACCTTAGGCAACATCCTTTCCTCTGTGAAACATGACGGTGGCAGCTTCATGCGGTGGGGATGCTTTCCTTTAGCAAGGACAAAGGAGATGGTTACGGTTAATTTGAGGATAGCGGGAGCTGAACACAGGAAAGTCTTGTTAAAAAAATTTTAAGAGGCTACAAAAAGCTCAAGGTGAAGCCTCCTCTACCAACAAAACCGTCACTCACAAACATGCAGAGGTAGCCTGGTAAAAACCAGCCCCTTGTTCTACACTTGGCTTCGTACGGATGGGCCTGGACCTTTGGCTGTTGAGAAATGATTGTCTGTCTGAGGCGTGGACTCTCTTGAAGTCTGAATTTTGACCCAATCGCCAACGTTTGTCGGTGACATAATGCGTCAGTTCGACACTAAGAAGCTTATTAGAAATAACGGCTGTGCTGTAAACAACCACATCCTCCACTGCGAAGAGAGACGTGTCAAACTGAACCTGATGGCTGTTCATGTTGATTCTGTATTCAAAGCCTCAAACTGATGGTGGACTAAAAGTAACAACTTGGGCATTCATGGACAAATCTTGATTTTTATTTAAATAATCTCTGCAAGTAAGAAAATTTTTCCTTCCTTCTTAGCAATTTTCTTCGCTACTCCAAAATCAATGATTTGGAGTAGCAAAAAAAAAAGTGAAACAACAAACAAAAATTCAGTTAATCTGATTTACTGTGATTCTGCTGATTCAAGCTAGATTACCCAGCATTCCCTTCTTCTTTCTGAGGCCTCCATTAAATGTAACCACAGAAAGGGTAGTTTAAGGGTCTTGAATGAGATGTTATTGCAATACCCTGCAGGCCTGACCCCTTTGGTGTAAAACCAAAGCTTTTTGTGTCTTAAAATGTCCTAGATTGATAATCCCAACGAACGTCTGCGGCCATACTTCAAAATTACAGTTCGCAGACGCTCGTTTAAGTAGTCTGAGCTATTGTTAAGTTGCAAAGAGCAAAAATGCCAGCCTCCAAATGTCTAAAACTAGTGGAAACACACCTTAAAACATCTCTGGCTATAAATGCAGCAAAACGTGTTTCACTAACGGGGGCTGAATTTTTTTTTAGAAAGCATAAATCCATTTTATGTCCCATAAAATCCCATAAAAGTACAGCGAAGTTTATGGATGTAAAATGACAAAATGGGGAGGAAAATTGTCCCTAAATACCTCAGCAAGGCTCTGCTTTAGTGAACAGTCAGTGTTTCACCCCTCCTGCACACTCAGACATTTTACAAATTTGGTGACATGTTGCCCCACGTCCACAACTCTGTTCGCCGACTCTCCTCTTCCCCTCCACCCCCTCTCCTTGACCTTCTCTTTTCATTAGTCAGAGTGCGTCTCATGCCTCTGAGCATGCTGATAGTGCACTGCTCCAAGGCTGCATTTATCATGATGATAAAGCACTCCCAGACAACAGCCAAGTATCTCAAGGCTAGTGGCCGCGGTACCTGACAAGTGACAACGAGTCACACAAACAGTTCCACCTCTGTCCTCCGCCTCTCCCTCCTCCCACCGAGACACACGCCGCAGCTAGATGGTCGCAGGTTGTCGCCTAATGTCACACAGGCCCCTAATGAGAAGCTAAGTGCACACGAAAGGCGGGTGGCTGTACATGACAGCGGATGTGCCGCTGCATCGACGCGCACGCAGCATCCATTGTGCGGAATGTGGGGGTTGACAGCGACATCCTGCAGACCCTGAGCCACTGAAATGCACGTCTTGCCGCTTTCGCTCCAGCTTTCATCTTTGCCCACTGTTCACCTCACTTTCCTTTCAATTCAATGGCTTTTTTTTTTTTTCCTCCACTCTCAGTCAGAAAGGTGCTGTCTACCTCTAAAAAGCCACAGCCTGCAATCACCGCTCTGCTCTCAGACTCAAACTGACAACTAAGATGACAAGGAAGTTATGTTGTTCTGTTCAAAAAGGTATTAGCAATTGCTCTAATGGAGGAAAAAAAAGGGTGGGTGGGGAGGGGGTCCTGAATTCCACCCCAATCTTTCTAATTTTTTTTTTCCCCCCCCCCCCCCGAGTCACAATTGAATTTCATATTTGATGCCATTGTTCTTCTTAAACACGTGTCTGGTAATAATTAAGAAAGTGTATTGTTCGTGCAAAGACGATTCAGATGAAAAGGCTTGAAAATCAATTTTACTTTCCCAACGCGGAGTTTGATGTCTCCTGTTTCTCCTTACTAAATCCTGCTCCTCGCTCAAAGCCTATCTTTGCTTCCTCTCTCACACACACACACACACACACACACACGTATTCATCACTGACGTGACAGGCTGACTGAACCCTGCCAAGATGTAAAGGACATTTTTCTACTCTAAGCTACAAAGCTTATCAGCAGTATTTTGCCGTGCGCTGACACGCTTGTTACATTTGGTGCTTTTATCAACATCATCACGTGTTTTTTTTTTCCTATCTATGACACCACGAACCTATGACTTCACTCCCACGCTTCAATAGTTATACAACACAGTTATTTAAATTATTTTCACGGTGAAAGTCATTACTTTTTAATTTGCAGCAGAGGGAGGGAAAAAAAAATCTCATGTTTTGATCAAAATATCTGGACTACAGCTCCTGTTTTCTACTATTTTTTTCTTACATTCGTGGTGTTTATGGTGCTGAATGAATTTATTTGCAGACACGAGCATGCATCTCACCTTAAAGAAATATTTTGACATGCCATTACCTCACCCGGTGTATGGTAATTGTAGCGAAAGGCGCCGAGCAGGAATTGGCCTCTTGACGGAAAAAGTAAGGGTTCTGAGATGCCTCGACTTTTTAATATATCTTGTTGAAGAAGCACGCGGTGCATCTTGAAGGAGGGAGTGATGGAGGCTACACAGAGGTAATCGAGGACCTTGAAGTGTTTCTGAAATAACAAATGCCAGACAGGATGAATGGTCACTCTATCACCTTCCCCTCCTCACCCCCATCTTCTCCAGATGCTGTCAGCTTAACAAATCATTTCAAAACATGCTGTTTTGTGACATCCTGAGACATATTATCCTACCTACAGGTTACATGGAAGCCTTTTTTTTTTTTTTTTTTTTAAACTAATAGAAAGTGCATCTTGATGGTCAGCATCCATTTGTTGGACCAAGTCTTGAAGGAAAATGTTCTACAACCATGTTTGACAATGAGACATGATCAGCACATTCATTCCTGTTTTTTGCAATATTATCTATATTAAGAAGTAGTTGTGAGCTCAATTAATTTAAGTTAAAACATGACTAATTCATAAATATTTTTCAGCTCAATTCAGTCACAGCATAAGGTAAAAAAAAATAATCTACATTGGTTAAACGACACTGGTTAAAAATTTAAGGTGTTTAAGAACAAATCACTAGTTTTAGGAATGTGAAAATGTAAAGTTAAAAATAAAACAGTATGAGCATCATCTATAAGCCATCATCTGATTTATGTCAGAGGCTTTAAACAAAATGAATCTTAAGGGTGAATAATGTCGATACCTAATAATAATTATACAAAAGTGTGCATTCCGATCAATGTCTGTTTAATAATTGTGTTTATGTCAGAAAGCATAGCAGTGTAAAACTGAACTTTTGCTGCATACAATGTATTTATTTATACCACTCAAGGATGGGGGGCACCTGAAAGGACCCTCAAACGTCCCTAAAATTTTGGACAGGTATAAAACTCAGAATCTCTTGTGTTGAAGAGTACACAAAGTAAAACCTTGGTGTAACTCCACTTGTGTAGATGCAAGCAATTTATTCCAAGCAAAAAATATCGAAGACGTACATTATCCTCAGCAGAGACGTCAGATATTGAAATCACTGAAGTAAAATGTCAGAATAATCACTAAGCGCAATGTAAGATGTGAAAATATTGCAGGTCCAGAGCTATCAAGTCATTCTTATGAAACTCTTGCATTTCGCTGTAACTTACCTATTACACTTTCAGTCTTGAGAACAGATTGATTTTCTTTGGTACAGCTAAGAATTTTACAAACCTTCATCTTTGATTAGTTATGCAGGAAAATTGCACGCTTGCATTAAATTGTTGTTTTTAATCTGTTTCTTCACCTTTAAAAATACGCCTGGTGTTTTCAGGACTTGGCAATTTTCAGTCATTTGCCTTTGAATTCCTCTGAAGGACGTCCAATCTCCGTCATCGCAGCGATGAAATGGTCTCAGTCGTTGTGAAATAATAGATTCCAACTGCAATGTGCACCTTTAATTAACAACCCTCTGCAGAAACCTCGCCGAATTCCTGTTCTTTTCATATTTGCCTCCCTCCCTTCCTCTGCACCTCCTTCATACTCTCGCATACGCCGATCTCCAGTGCCGCTTTTTAAACAGCGTTTTCTTATAAGGCTGCTTCTGTATTCCTGATCATATCTCGCTATAGATGCTTAACTCACACCTCTGTCAGCCCAGAATCCGAGGCTGTAAAGCCTCTCAACAACAGTTCCACAGCAATATCTCAGGGTCGGTGACCAGCGCTTTCTTCTATTCTGCAGATTTTACAGTTTGAACCTGGTGAAAAATGTACTGTGTGACGTCTCAGCAGAAAATATCTCATTCGGCGCAGCAGAGCTGTGTGCTTTGTATTGCCAGCTGCGTTCTTTTGTTTCATGCTTCACTATTTCCTTTAATGTTCCCACACTGTGTGAGTACTTGGATTCTTAATGGCCTCCTTGTGTTACGCTCAGTGGAACAGTCAACAGAGGCATGATCTGGGTCCTTTTTGTATGCATTTGTGCTTTTTTTTTCTTCTTTCTTTCCCTCCTCTTCTCTTATTCAAAAACATAAAATACTGCTCGGTTGGCTCCCATGGCACTTTTGA